AAAACAAGGGCTACATCAGGTCATTAGAAGGAATGGGATACATATGTGTGGGGTCAGAGGTCTTGGTGTATATGAATGAATGAAGAAACATTTAAGTGCTTACTATGCATGTGCTAAGCACTGGGGAGATGTACAAAGACGTGCAAGACGGTCTCTGTCCTCAGGAAACAGACAACACCTGTGTGTGTGTGGGGATGTGTGTGTAGAAAGATATATCTACACACATACATATATGTGTATACATACACCCACACACATATACTGTCTCTGCTTCCTGAGGACAGGGGCAGTCTCTCTCTCATCTCTCCCCCACCCCCCACCCCCAATGGCCAGGAACGATTTGGTTTTGGGGAGTTTTTTGGTAATAGGTGTGATGAGTCACAGGTCCTACATTTCATCAGTATTTGATCCTCACCAACAAAGACGAACAGGTTGCTGGGGGGTAGAAATTACGGGAACCTTGAAGTTGAGTGACCACCCAAAGGTTCAATAAGTTGTGGTATATGAATGTAATGGCCCAGCATGCCAATGTGTAAATTGAGGAATAGGGAGAAATCAGAAAGACTTGGAAAGACTTACCAGAACTGATGCAGAGAGAACATTACCAGGAGAACCACACACAACTCAAGGGGACGGTGGGATGAGGCATATGTGTTAAGAAAGGCTCACGTTTTGGTCTGTTTGGTTAAACTGTCCTTTGAGCTGAGGTGGAAGTCATTGGGTACAGACAGAAATGTTTCAAAAAAGGAGGGGGGGATTCTATCATCTTACATTTTCTGATAGAAAAGGCAGGAATAATCTAATGGTCACCTTAGACTTTGGCAGAATTAAGTGGATTTAGAAAAGATTTCAATGGCCAGGCCCAAAGAGTAGTTATTAGGGACTCACTTTCAACTTAGAGAGTGTATCCAGTGGGATCCTCCAGGGATCTACCCTAACTCTGTGCTGATTAAATTGTAGAATCAAGATCCAAAAAGATACGGACAAGTGACAATACTTGGAGAATTTGAATGTAGAGGCTTACTCTTGGATTCAGAAAGTCGACTTCACAAGTCTAAGATTCAAAAGTTAGCAGAGTGGAAGGAAGAACAAAGTGAGCTCCCCTCCACACCTCCAAAGAGATTGAAAAAACACATTAGAAGAGGTGACTAGGTGGCACAGTGAACTGACACCCTGGGGAGTCAGGAGGACCTGAGTTCAAATCCAGCCTCAGACCCTGGGCAAGTCACTTAACCCTAATTGCCTCACCAAAAAAAAAAAACAAAGAAAGAAAAGAAAACACATTAGACCAAAGCCTGATAGAAGAATCCAGAGGAAAAAAAATCAGTGCCATTTTTTCAGTACAGGCCTGTCTGTATAGGGGGACAGACAGAGAAGTCTGTGGACTCTAGGGATGGAGTCTGCTCTGTCACTCACTATCTGGCACAGACAGAATTGGGGAACTTATATCAGGGAAGAGGTAATCATGGTCTCTAGGCTGTCTTCTAAGCAAGGAGAAAGTTCAGAAGCTCAGACTCCAGAAGCCCAGCAGGGTCTCAGTTTCAGCTTCCAGTCCAGTCTGAAGCCTGCAGGTGAATAACTGGGGCACAAATCCCAGACCAAAGGGGAGCCTTAGAATCAGCAAAGCTTCCCACCTGGCTGATAGGGAGGGAGTCCCTATCTAGCAACAGTGTACTGGGGATCCACACAGGAGCAAGGCCACAGGTGTACTGCTCAGACCAAAACCAGGTCAGGACCTTGCAGACTTCAGACAAGAAGGGCAGATATCTGACTTTGTCCAGGACCAGAACACTCTGAGATCACTGGAAGCTTGTAGGTCTCCAGACTGAGCTGTCTCTGGGGTGTTCCGAGTGCTGGCACCTCTGGTGTGAGGGTTTGCCAAGCCCTTTTCGGGCCTGGTCATCTCCCTCTGGTGTCCATTTGATTCACCCAACTCTCACCTGTGGCTCCAGGAAGCTGCAGCATACCCAGCAGCCACGCACCGGTAAACCATCTTGGCAGAGAAGCTAAAGCAGGTTGAAGATAACCAACAGGCCTCAAACCTGTCAGTGATTAGGGAGATGTCTGCCCCAGCATGTGAAGACTTATCCAGGTGGAATGGGCAGATGAGAACAATTTGTTCCAATGGTCACAAAGGCGGCTGAAGCAGGCACTGCAAAGTGCTTGGAGCTTGATCAGGCATCGCAGATGCCAAGGTCATCCACTGCCAGTTGTCCTGACTTTGGTCCTATCACTCAGGAAAAGAATGTATGGCTGACGACTGTAACTCAGCCTCATTTAAATCCAATTCAAGCACAAGTCACGAAGCCATTGGTCGTCTTTGAAAATGAAGGACAAACAACCCCAAGAAAGCAGCAGCAAGACAAGCCCATACAGTTCAAGCAGAAATATACAGAGCCTGGCCCTAACAAAGTCCAAAGTCAGGAAGAAGGCTGGAAGAATGAGTAAACAAAATGAAGAATCTCACCATAAAGAGCTATTGTGGTGACAGGGATGCTCAAAAGAAAAGAATGGCTCCAAAACATCTATAAGCAAAGTTTCAAAGAAAAACACAGCAAAGACAAGTTCAATTAGAATTCCTGGAAGAGATAAATCAAGAGATTTTTTAAAAGGAGTTTAAAAGTTTTTTATAAATTAAATGAGAGCTCTAGAGGAAAAAAATTTTTGAAAAAGAAATGAGAGCTAAGGAAAAAATAACTGGAAAGGGAATTAATGGGTTGGCACAGGAGAGACAAAACCTCGCCCAAACAACAAAGTCCCCGAAAGTTAGAATGGACCAAATAAAAGCTAACAAATCCATGAGACAATAAGATATGTTAAAACAAAGTCAAAAGACTGAAAAAAAAAATAGAAGAAAATGTAAGTTATCCCACAGCAAAAATGACTGAGTTGGAAAACATATTGAGGAGAGAAAATTAAAGAGTCATTAGACTACCTGAAAGCCATGACCCAAAAAACAGGCTAGACATCACATTTCAAGAAATCATAAAAGAAAATTGCCCAGATCTCTTGGAAACAGAAGGCAAAGTGGAAATAGAATTTACCAGTCACCTCCTGGAAGAAATCCCAAAATGAAAACTCCATGGCACATTGTAGCCAAAATCCAGAATTTCTGAGTCAAGGAAAAAAATTGCAAGCAGCCAGAAAGAATTCAAATATCAAAGAGCTACACTCAGGATTACATGTGATTTATCAGCCATCACTATAAAGAGGAGAGAACTTAAAATACAATATTCCAGGAAGCAAAGAATATAGATGTACGACGAAGAATAACTCACCCAGAAAATCTGAGTATAATTCTACAGGGCAAAAATTAGGTCCTTAATGGAACAGAGGACTTCCAAGCATTCCTGATGAAAAGACCAGAGATGCATAGAAACTCTGAAGTGCAAACACAGAAGTCAAGAAAAACACAAAAAGATAAATATGAGGGACCACACAAAGATAAAGCCATTTCCCTTCTAATATGGAGAGAAGACTATACGTATCCTCTCAGAACTCTATTATCATCAGGAATTATAGAATTGAATTAGATAAAGGTGCGTTGAGTAGTTGTTATGTCTTGGATGATCTAAAAAGAATAGAAAAGTAGGAGGAAAGCAATATACTAGGAGTGAGGGGAAAGAGGAAGGATGAGGAAAATCATCTCACATAATCAAAATGCACAAAGTGTATACAAACAAGGAAAGAGTGGGGAGTAGGTGATACTTGAACCTCACTCTCACTTGAACTGGTTAAAGGAGAGAAGAATACACACACAGGTACAGAAATGCATTTTCCCCAACAAGTAAATGGGGAAAAAGGGCCGTGGTGATGGGGGGGAGATAGAGAGAAGTTAGTTTAGGGAAGAGATTAGTCCTAAGTAAAACAAACCCTAATAATGTGAGAAAATATTTATAACAGCTTTTTATGCAATGGCAAAGAATTGGAAACTGAGGGGGTGCCCATCAATTGGGTAACAGCTGAAAAAGTTGGGGTATGTCAGTGTGAAGAAATACTATTGTGCCAGAAGGAATAATAAATGGGGTGGTTTCAGGAAAACCTGGGAAGACTTGTATGAGCTGATGCCAAGGGAGTGAGCATATCCGGAACAATGTATACAGTGACAACATTGTAAAGGCAAATAGCTTTGAAAGACTTAGGGACATATAACTACAATTCCAGAGGCCTCATGATGGAACATGCTAACCAGACTTAAAGAGCTCAGGGTGCAGATTAAGACTTTTTTTAATATGGCCAATGTGGGAATTTGTTTTGCTTGAGCATATATGTTTGTAAGAGGGGTTTTCTTTTTCTTGCTTTCTCATTTCAGGGGGAGGAGACAGGAAGGAGAAAAGGCTTATTTTTGCTGATTAAAAACAATTAATTTAAAAAGACAAGTGTAAGATTCAATTTAATTAGACAAACATTCATTATGCACACACTACGTGCATTGTGGTAGGCATTGGGGATACAAAGACAGAGTGAACTCACACTCTACCATATGTTTTGTTCTTATTCAGTCCAGGCACTCTATCCACGGTGCCACCTAGCAGCCCCCTAACCCCAACCATGCAGTATGGACATAAGTCAATACTGAATTATTTCAAGGGGCAGGCAGGATCACCCACTGGAAGCCAGGGGGTTTGGGGGCACAAGCGAGAAAGGAATGCTGAATTCAAGGAACACAGAAGGCCACTTTGGCTCAAAGAGACAACGCATGAAGGGGACTAACAAGCAATAAATCTTGAAAAGCAACCAGGATCTGGATTGGGGAGGGGGTGCTTGAAAAATGATAAACAGATGCAGTTTGCATTTTAACCTAGAAGTGTTCATGGATTGGGAGCACCTGGGGGTGCCACAGGGCACAGGGGCCCCATCCTGGAGTCAGGAAGACTCACCTTCATCAGTTCAAATCCAGGCTCAGACGCTTCCTAGCTGTGTGACCCTGGGCAAGTCACTTCACCCTGTTTACCTCCGTTTCCTCATCTCTAAAATGAGCTGGAGAAGAAAATGGCAAACCACTCCAGTATCTTTGCCAAGAAAACCCCAAATGGGGTCACAGGGTTGGACACAACTGAAACAACTGAAGAACAAATTGTGGATTTTGAGAAGTCAGAAGATGACATGGTCAGACCTACGTCCTTGGCATGAACTTGGTTTTCTTTCTCCCACTGTCTCCTTTTTCCAATCTATCCTCCAATTAGGAGGTTCCTGCAATGGTCTAACTGAGAGGTGACAAAAGCCTAAATCAGAGCCATGTGAGGAGTCAAAAGATATTGTGGAGACACAATGGACAAGACAGCCACAAAATAAACACGGGAGAGAAGGGAGAATCGAGAGTAGCTCCTGTTGTGCACATGTGACTGAGAACGTGGTGGCTGCTCAACAGAAATGGGAAATGAGAGTTAGGAAAGCAATTCTGTCTGGAATACGTCAAGGCTGAGATGGCAACAGGACAGCAAGATGGCTCAGCGGTGATGGATCGTTAGGGTTTCAGAACTGAGGAGGAGATGAAAAGAACTGAAAGCAAGTCACAGAGACCTGAAAATCTAAATACACACACAGACATGTGTAGACTACGTGAATGTGTGCATCTAGGTCCATGTCTATTCTCCTGTTCTATAGCCCAATCCATTTGTTTCAAATTCTCTTTAGTCGATTCCACTCATTTCTCTATTTTTTAACCAAAACAAAATGCTTCTGATAGCTGCTGCTTTCTAACATAGATTAGGGTCTGGAAGTGCCCTTTCCCCCTTCACCTCTACCTCTTTTCATTAACCCTTGATACTGGGGAAAACTACAATAATGTAAAAACCAAACCGAAAATAAGTGAGAGGGCCTTAAAGAAAAGAGACTCTCACTGTTCAAGCTGGAAGGGATCTCAGAAGCCACGTCGACCTCCTCTTTCGGACCCTGTGCCCTGTGAAGGCAGCAGAACAAGCCTAATCTTGAACATGGCTGCCATGTGGGAATTCTGATTCTTCAGTCCATCCTCTCAGGGAAGCAAGGCCTTTTGCTCCTAAGAACCCTGGCTCTCATTTGCTGTCCTCATCCTGATGCCCTGAACTAAGCCACCCCCTCAGAGCCCATCTAAGTAGGGAACAACCTCCATACCCCAATGCTCTCAACTGCTGGATCACACTCCTGGCTCACACGGAGCTTCCAGGCCATCAGAACCCGAGTGCTCTGCCATGCCACACCTCCCTGTCCTGGGAGCTGTCCATTCTGAATCCAAGCCATTTATCTGCAAAGGTCTCGTCTGATGCTGCCTCCTGCACAAAGCCCCCCATCCTCAACTCTCCTCCTTGTGGATGTCAGCATTATTAGCACACTCCGCTTTTCCTGCCATTAGATGGGGGTGCTCCTGAGAACAAAGCCCATGCCATATGGACCTGTGCACCAACTACAGGGTCTTGGGCACAGCTGCTGCCTCACCTGTCCCTTCAGGAAGCCGATCATCCACTCTTCCCAATTCCTCAGAAGGCCAAAGAGGACCTCGGCTCCCCCAGGGCCGTTTCTCTGTTATGCTGCCTACCAGCCAGCAAATGGATGGGCTGAGTCTCGGAGGCTAGATCTGTCAACTAAACATGAGTTTATTGACTTAACAGCAAAGTCTGGGATGGTTTATGGAACTGTGGTCATGGCCCCTGGAGACACCCTCAGCACAGGGGCTCCCCAAGCTCCCTACCATCCACCAGTCACAGCAGATGTTCATTCCTCCCTTCCCACTTCTTTCATATGGGCTCAAGCAGGCAGATTTCCAACACCCTTCCTACCGATTTACCTGCTTCATACACTGACTTCCTCCTTCCACGCCCGTGCCCCTAGCACAGAAGAGGCTGTGGCCGTGGGGCACAAGCAGGGCAGGTCCTCTCACACTGGGAGGCCTCAGAGGATGGGCAGAGGATCTGTCTGAAGACCAGGCTCATCCCCAAGGTCAGCTGCAGAACTCCAAGATCATCGGGGTGAAGGCACCCGCACAGCGATGGAGCCAAGGGAGGCGGAAGGACTGAGGAAGCGTAGGGGCTGGGAAATCCTCCTTTCTCGGTGAAGCTTCCCTACTTTGCAGCCCTTTTCTTCTCCTTGTACAGCTCCCGATAGCAGCTAATCACGCTGTTCACCCCTCGACACACCTTCAGGCTCCGCTCCCGATTGGGATCGTTATCAGAAAGGATCTGCAGCCCCTGGTCAAAGTGGGAGAGGGCTTCCGCCAGATGCCTTGTGCTCAGCTCTGGCGGGGTGGCCAGGGTGTTGTCCTGCCCTGTTCCCGGGGAGGACATTCCCAGCCCCTCCCCCGACAGGTCTTCTCCCTGAGACTGAAGCAAGTGCACAACATCTTCTTCCACCACGCCCTCCAAGCCGCCGTGACCCACGATCTGCGGCAGGGCTTCGGCCTCAGAGGAGGCACGCACGCACTCCGGCCAAATCTTCTTCCAGACGGCATTCATGGTGGACGGCTTCAGCTCCTGCCAGGCCTCGGCGATGTTGTCCACAGCAGTCATGATGTTGTAGCTTCGCCAGAATTCACGGATGGTGGGCCTCTCCTCCCCGTCGGTCTCCTGTATGAGCTGACACAGTGTCCTCTTCAGGTAAAAGGCCTTGAAGGTGGTGATCACCCCTTGGTTCATGGGCTGGATCAAGGCCGAGGTGTTTTTGGGCAGAAACTCCACCCTCACGTTGGCGGAGAGGTCATCCAAGTACACGGGATGGCACGGGGCGCTGTCCAGGATCAACAGGGCCTTGTTGGGGAGATGGTTTTCAGCACAGTGCCTCTCCACAGCGGGGCAGAAGAAGTTGGTGAACCACTCCTGGAAGATGCTCATGGTCACCCAGTCATTCCGATTGGATCTCCAGATCACGGGCAGGTTGGGCTTAGAGCAACCCTTCAGAGCCCGGGGATTTTCAGAAGGGTACACGAGCAAGGGCTTCAACTTACAATCACCAGCAGCATTGCCTCCGAGGAGCAGGGTCAGATGGTCTTTGGACGCCTTGAACCCCGGCCCGGCTTTATCCTCCAGAGACACAAACGTCCTTTCAGGTAAACGCTTCCAAAACAGCCCCGTCTCATCAATGTTGAAAACCTGCTGAGGCGTGTACCCACCGTCCTCGATAATCTTCCTCAGCACGTCAGGGTACCTGCGGGCTGCTTCTGTATCCGCCACAGCGGGTTCATCCGTCAGGAGGACATTGTGCCTCACCTTGAATCGGGCAAACCAGCCGTTGCTCGCACCGAAGGTCTCTGTCTGGGCGCTCTCCCCGTGCTCGCGCTTCAAGGTCTCAAACAAGCTCTTGGCTTTCTCCTGGATAAGCATGGTGTTGATGGGCAGGTGCTGCTGCTTCTGGTCTTCAATCCAGAGGCTCAACAGCCTCTCCATGTTGCCCATCACCACACCTCGGCACCGAGTTAACTGGGTGGCGCTGATGGGAGTGGCCGCTTGAGAATTGGCTTTGATTTTCTCTCGGTTGACTCGGATGGAGGCCACTGTGGAGGTGGCCAGCCCCAGGGTCTTGGCAATCTGCGTGAGCTTCTGGCCCTCCTCAAAACGCCTCAGTACTTCAAGCTTGACATGCAGGGTGATCGACTTCCGGTCTCTCTTGGGGCCCCTGAGCAGTCTCTTTCCTGGCGCCTTGGGGCCGAACCCTTTCTCCATTCCGTTGGCCCCGAGAGCCTCCCAGCTTTCCTTTCCCCGCCCTTTCCTGGTGCCTTGTCAGATCTCCTTCCCTGTGAAAGAGACAAATGGTCATTGGCACAAAAGGAACCAGACGTCACCCGTGTTCTCCCCATCCTCCAAACCCAATTCTAATACCACTTCCTCCACAAGCCACCTGATTTCCTACAGCCATCCCAAGGCTGGACGTTCCCCTGGCAGTTCTCCCCAGGACGTCTTTGCACCTCTCTCAGCTCCCTCCATCTGCTCCTGGCTGGGATGCCCACCTTCCTCCTCTTGGCCTCCTGGCTTCCTCCACCTTTCTTTGTATCCCCAGCACTTAGCACAGGGCCAGGCAAACAGCAGGTGTTTAGTCAATGCTTACTAAGCCTGTTGCATATCAGGGCCTAGACGATATACACAAGCTTTGGGACTGTCTGTAATTCTGCTTCAGGGTGATGAAGGCACCCTGGAATCAAGAGTTTGACCACTCCCTGACTGCTGAGCTATTGATAAAGGGCTTACTGCAAACATATTTTTTTTTATAATTATTTAAATAAACATGTTTTCAAAGGTCAGTGCTAGACATCAGCTCCATGTGACAGTGTTTCCTCATCCTTTCTGACCACTGTCCTCCTGGACATCCTCCTTTCTTGGGGTTCTCCTGGTCCTCCTCCTGCATGTCTGACCTCTGGGGCCTCAGGCTCCACGGGGTCTCGCCCCTCAGTGGGAAACCCTCTCCTACATTCACACATTCAGACTTTAAAGGCCTCTCAGTTTGCCCACGCTCAGGTTCAGGGCTCTTCCCACTGCGCCTGGTTCCCTTCTCTTGGGGACCCCACCTACATGCACAGGACTCCCTGGTGCTTTCTCTCCTGAACCTCTGCCCTGCACTGCACACTGCCTCCTGGACACCTCCTTCCCCCTTACTATCTATCCCACAGCCATCTCACACTGGACTCCCCTCCAAACTTCACTCCGTTTGCCACCTCACAGTTAGATTCTTTCCCTCCCTGACCAGCTACCCATCCCCTCTGACCCTGACCACTGAAAGAGCTTTCAGGCCCACCCTACTCCAGCCTACTGCCCTCCTCCCGGTAAGGCTTTGCTCAGATCGTGGCCTTCACAGGAAGCCTTTCCCACTCCCTTTCATCTGCAGTGACCTCTGCCTCCCACCTTCCCTATCACTGTCAAGGGCACAGTCCTCAGTCCCCAAGTCCTGCTATTTCTGCCACCAGCCTGGGCCAGGTCCTCATCCCTCCAGCCTAGAGTAGTTATCCAATTCTCCATTAGGCTGTCAAACTGATCCTCCTAAAGGAGGTCTGACCATACCAGCCCCTGTTCCATCAGTTCCAGAGGCATCCCTCCAGGACCTCTGGCATCCAAAGCCCTTCAGAGCCCAGCCCCCTCCCCTCCCCACATCCTCTCTGATCCAGTGACACACCCCCCAGCCGTTCCCAACACAAGACCCTTCATCTCCCGACTTGGCATCTTCACTGACTGTCCCCCATCCCCACTTCCTTCAGGTCTCAACTACCATCTCTTCAAGAAGGCTTCCCCAGTCTTCCTTAATCTTTGCATCTTCCCTCTGTTCTTCCTCACTGGACTGGCAGCCATGTTTTTACCTTTCCTTGTATCCTCTGTGCCTAGCATAGTACCTGGCACATAGTAGGTGCTTGATGCCACCTGATGGGACTGACTGTCCGTGAACAAAAGATATTCTTAACCAACCTGAGTCATGCAGCTAAGCTCAGCCCCCCTGTCTCTCAGCTCTCCATACAGTCAGAGGAGCTGGAGGTCTCAGGCAGTCAGGACACAGGCAGAGTCCAGTGCTCCTGAGAGTGTCTGAACTTGTGCATGGAGCTGGCCCCATGAAAAAAGATGCTCTCCAGCCATCAACGTGGCCTCGGCGGGAGCGACCTGATGGGCATCTCGGAGACCTAGTGCTGTCTGGCAGCTCTCAAGGGGATTCTGACTTCTTTGGAGTGTCCAGGGAAATACTGGAGGGCTTGAACTCTCTACCTCTGTCTGAGAAAGCCTCCTAGCTACTCAATGGGGCTCGTGAAACAGTCTCCTAACCAATACATGGACAGCCAAGACAAACCGCTACCAAAGGGGCCAGGAACCAAAGAGGGAAACGGATGGCTGAGGTCAGTTTGTGCTGTTTAGGGGGGAGTGTCGACTACACCTGGTCGGGACTGACCACAGACTCAAGAGGCCCAGAAATCTCTTCTCCAAGGGCCTAAGGGTCTTCTTGGGGACCAATCCTGCTCAGGGACCCCCTCCAGCTTCTGCTGGGACCTCCACTGACCGGGAGGGGAGGGAGCTGGGTTCAAAGACAGCTTCTGACAGTTCTTAGCTGAGTGACCTCAGGGAAGTCCCTTGTCCACCCATGGGGACAATGTGAGCAGGTGAGCCAAAGATGCACTTAGGTCACTGCAGGTGGGAGGGGGCAGATCAGGCATTTATTAAGCACCTACTATGGGTTGAGCACTGCACCAAGCTGGTAAGGCTACAAATACAAGCTAGCCAACTAGAGCCTGCCCCCAAGAGGCTTACACTCCAATGGGGGAAGCGGGATCCAAACACAAGACGGGGAGCAGAGCACGTACCCAAGGAAGGAGGCCACAACCCGGGTGTTTCAAGGGTGCCAAGGGGGGGCCTGGGCGTGGCCCGGAAGGGGAGGCCCCCCAGGAGGGTCCTGCGATAACCCTGTGCAAGGCCAGAAAAGACAAGAGGCCACTTGAGGGGGAGCCAGGCCCTCCGTCGCCTCCCTCCTCTCGGTGCAAGGCATTCAACGCCTGCCAGCCCTTTGTCATCACTAACCATGCGAGTTCCCACCCCCGCTCCTTTACCTGAGGCTGGTCCCACTACCTCCCCGAGGACCAGGAGCAGGGTCCCGCCCCCTTCCCAGCCCCAGCCAGTCCTCTTCCTTAGTGGATACGGCGCGCGCGCGCAGCGGGGTGGAGGGGCCAACCAGCCCCTCAAGGGATGCGCGCGCAGCCGGCTCATCGCCACACCCCCCCCTCACACGTTCCCCACCCCCAGCTTCTCGAGTGGTGCGCG